GAGAATTCATCCGTGCAAACAAATTTTATGAAATATGTTACTTTGCTGATACATTGTCAAAAACAGAAGCCGCCAACTAAGTCAGGTTGAGATGTTTTCTAGAGCACTACTTGACATATTGAAAAATCAGGATTTTTTTCTGACTCTGTTGGAGAAAACAATTACCTGATGAAAAAGTAGCAATTTATGTGTGAAGAGGTGACTTACAAATTCCTGAGTGGAGCTGCATCAGGTTTAGTGATTATATCCCTGCGTTGTACAGGAAGTGATGAGCTCGGAATGTCTTCCCATAATACCCAGCTCCTGCTAGGATGTACAGATCCAGTTTCTCCTTGTGAGCCGTTAAATACTGACCACAGCTGACACAGTTTTTTTTTATTTTTCTGAATCATACTCCAATTCTGTTTATTTTTCTGAATCATACTGCAATTCTTTTCCCATCTCCTACAAACTACTTTTTCGCTCTACCTCGAAAGTCTTCTCCTTCTCTACCCCTACTTCTCCTCCCCACCACCAATATTTCCCCTCTACCTCCAATAGTTACCCTTCTCCATCTCCAATATTTTCCTCCTATCATTAACATTTCCCCTTCCATCTGCACATTGTGTTATTTCCTCTCTACCCCGCCAATATTTTCCTTTCCACCAGTCAGTCCAATATTTTCCTCCTAATGTTTCCACTCTGGTTTCCTCTCTCAATATTTCCTTTTAATTCCAATATCTCCCCGCTACATCTACAATATTTCCCATCTACGTCCTATATCCCCACTCTTAATCCAATATTTCCCATCTATGTCCTATATCCCCACTCTAAATCCAATATTTCCCATCTACTTCCTATATCTCCACTCTTAATCCAATATTTCCCATCTACTTCCTGTATCTCCGCTCTGAATCCAATATTTCCCATCTACTTCCTATATCCCCACTCTAAATCCAATATTCCCATCTACTTCCTATGTTTCCACTCTAAATCCAATATTTCCCATCTACTTCCTGTATCTCCGCTCTAAATCCATTATTTCCCATCTACTTCCTATATCCCCACTCTAAATCCAATATTTCCCATGTACTTCCTATATCTCCACTCTTAATCCAATATTTCCCATCTACTTCCTGTATCTCCGCTCTAAATCCAATATTTCCCATCTACTTCCTATATCCCCACTCTAAATCCAATATTTCCCATCTACTTCCTATATCTCCACTCTTAATCCAATATTCCCCATCTACTTCCTATATCTCCACTCTTAATCCAATATTTCCCATCTACTTCCTATATCCTCACTCCAAATCCAATATTTCCCATCTACTTCCTATATCTCCACTCTTAATCCAATATTTCCAATCTAACATGAACAGTGAGTGAGTGAGTGAGTGAGCCCTTCCTGCTGTACCACCTGTACCAAGCATTCTGAGTCAAATCTCAGTACTTCATCAATGTCAATGTAACCCCTATGGTCTAATGTCAACAAGGGTAGATAACTCTGATAGTAACGAGAAAACTGCCACGGAGGCACAAATTTAATAAGAACGAAACCGATAATGGTGAAACGCTAGATTAAATTATACATGCCAAATTTTCTGGGAATAGCTTGCCTTGATAACAAGTGTAAAGACTGGCTAACCTCCTCGCATGTCATGGCTGCACACTGAGACTTGTACCTGGCCTTTAATGACTACACCATCAATCTTCCTTAAATTCTTCGAGTTCTATATAGGATTATTTGCTGTGTGTTTACAAATCCACCTTGAAAAAACCAGGCCAGGCTAGACATCACAGATTTGGTAAAGATTCTGCACAAATTAGATTTGGAATAAGTCGAAGTTTAAAGAGAAATTTGTTCTTGAATTAGGCAAATGGTGTCTCCTAATATCCAAAATCGGATATTTTTTATTATTTGATCAGTTCGGGAAGTAATTCTTCTTCAAAACTGTGAAGAGTAAAGCTGTTGACCAGAATGTCCATCAAACAAATTTCATTTACTATTTAAATATCAGAACAAAGATTTATCTCGGAACATCTGCATTTTTTTATAGCATAGCATGTGTGAGTGAGTGAAAAGTATGTTACTTATATCATAGCATGTCTGAGTGAGTGAGTGAAAAGTATTTTACTTATAGCATAGCATGTGTGAGTGAGTGAAAAGTATTTTACTTATAGCATAGCATGTGTGAGTGAGTGAAAAGTATGTTACTTATATCATAGCATGTCTGAGTGAGTGAGTGAAAAGTATGTTACTTATATCATAGCATGTCTGAGTGAGTGAGTGAAAAGTATGTTACTTATATCATAGCATGTCTGAGTGAGTGAGTGAAAAGTATTTTACTTATAGCATAGCATGTGTGAGTGAGTGAGTGAAAAGTACTTTACTTATATCATAGCATGTCTGAGTGAGTGAGTGAAAAGTATGTTACTTATATCATAGCATGTCTGAGTGAGTGAGTGAAAAGTATGTTACTTATATCATAGCATGTCTGAGTGAGTGAGTGAAAAGTATTTTACTTATAGCATAGCATGTGTGAGTGAGTGAAAAGTATGTTACTTATATCATAGCATGTCTGAGTGAGTGAGTGAAAAGTATGTTACTTATATCATAGCATGTCTGAGTGAGTGAGTGAAAAGTATGTTACTTATATCATAGCATGTCTGAGTGAGTGAGTGAAAAGTATGTTACTTATATCATAGCATGTCTGAGTGAGTGAGTGAAAAGTATGTTACTTATATCATAGCATGTCTGAGTGAGTGAGTGAAAAGTATGTTACTTATATCATAGCATGTCTGAGTGAGTGAGTGAAAAGTATTTTACTTATAGCATAGCATGTGTGAGTGAGTGAAAAGTATTTTACTTATAGCATAGCATGTGTGAGTGAGTGAAAAGTATGTTACTTATATCATAGCATGTCTGAGTGAGTGAGTGAAAAGTATGTTACTTATATCATAGCATGTCTGAGTGAGTGAGTGAAAAGTATGTTACTTATATCATAGCATGTCTGAGTGAGTGAGTGAAAAGTATTTTACTTATAGCATAGCAATGCAAGTATGAGTGTATGAGTAACAGTATTTTACCTATATCATGGCATGTCGAGTGAGTGAGTGAAAAGTACTTTACTTATATCATAGCATGTGTGAGTGAGTGAGTGAAAAGTATTTTACTTATAGCATAGCATGTGTGAGTGAGTGAGTGAAAAGTATGTTACTTATATCATAGCATGTCTGAGTGAGTGAGTGAAGGAGTGAAAGAGGGAGCGAACAGTCTATCACTTACATCATGTCATGTGGCGTAAATGACACCATTTCAGCCATATCATGGCATGACATGTGAGTAAATAGTGTGTTAAGTGAGTGAGTGAGTGAGTGAGTGTATAGAGTGTTAAATCATATTATGGCATATCAAACGAGTGACAGCAGAATTTCAGTTATGTAATGGCACATCGTGTGAGAGACAGTATTTAAGCTTTACAATGACTTGTCAGCTTAAAGGGGGAGGAAAACACAAGGCAATGAGACTGATTGACTGAGTTTGGTTTTACGCCGCTTTTAGCAATATTCCAGCAACATCACGGCGGGGGACACCAGAAATGGGCTTAACACATTTTACCCATGTGGGGATTTGAACCCGGGTCTTCGGCGTGACGAGCCAACGCTTCAACCACTAGGCTACCCCACAGCCCTACAAGGCAATGAGAAGTGATGCAGGTCTAAGATGTTGACCATTTTGACAAAACCCAGCAACATAAACATCTCACGTCTCTTAGATGTGGCAGGAGTGAGTGAGCATGGTTTTACACCGCTTTTAGCAATATTCCAGCAATATCATGGCGGGGGACACCAGAAATGGGTTTCACACATTAAAACCATGTGGGGAATCGAACCCGGGTCTTCGGCCAGACAAGCGAACGCTTTAACCACTCAGCTACACCACCATCCCTGATGTGGCAGGAAGTAGCCCTGAAGAGCATGATCATCACAACAGTATGAACAACGGCCTCCGCCATCACCCACATTCCTTCAGGTCACAAGCTGCAACAACCTGATCATCTAAATACTTCAGTCCTGCAACAAGCAGGGGTTCACAGGACCTGTCTTGTCCAAAAGTCCCAGAGGGGGTCAATTGCTTGTCAAAAATAATTCTTGGAAAATTCTATTGCTTTTCGAGACGGCTCTGTCCTCGATTACCCATGGGACATTACTGATCAAATTTAAGTTGGAGGTCTGTTTTGCTAATAGGACTTTTCCTTTCCATTGCCTGTCACAGTCTCTATCATGAATTTACAAACTTTCACATCAAAGAGAAGCTTCATCACGCATATGCGGGGTAGAAGGGTGGGTGAGTGAGTTACAAAAAGCCATCAGCATTTCGGCAACCTGTTCCACAAAGATCGTAGAGTTAGGATGACTGTGACTTCTATACTTTCAAATAGGCTGATGGTAATCGTAATGCGAAGGTTGCTTAATGCATGTCAACCCAGGATGTGTGACAGAGTGTGGAGGGCGAACCATCACCACCCGCCTGAGAACAATCAATAAAGGGTAATAAAAAACAACCTGACCTGTGAATATCCATGATAGTCATAAGAAGTAACTAACAATATCAGGTGATCAGGCGGTCAGGCTCGCTGACTTGGTTGACACTGTCACCGTAGCCAAATTGTGTAGATGCTTATGATGTTGATCACTGGATCATCTGGACCAGACTGCATTATTTACAGACCGCCAACAAATAGCTGGAATATTGCTAAGAGCAGCATTAAACAACAACAATCTGCACAGACACAACATGCCTCCATCAATTGGGTGGTCTGGCTTGCTGGCTTAGTTGACACATGTCATCGGTTCCCAATTGCGCAGATCGATGCTCATGCTGTTGATCAATGAATTGTCTGGTCCAGACTCATTTATTACAGACCGCCGCCATATAGCTGGAATATTGCTGAGTGCGGTGTAAAACTAAACTCACTCACTCACTCACCCACAAGGAATCGAGACTCGCTCCTTACCTCAATACTAAGCCGCGACTCTCCCTTAATGTCCTCCACCTTCCCGGGCTTGTCCTTCTGGTCGTCCTCTGCCATTTGGTCCAGCTTCAGCACTTTAGACGTCTCTGTCTCTGACTTTTGAGGAGGTAGCTCCACTGTAAAGAAAACATGACAAGTTAGCACAGGATGGACATATTACATTACAAATTGTAGGACCCGTGAAGATCCGGGGTAGAATAGGTCTTCAGCAACCCATGTGCTTGACATAAAAGGCGACTATGCTTGTCGTAAGAGGCGACTAACGGGATTGGGTGGTCAGGCTCGCTGACTTGGTTGACACATGTCATCGGTTCCCAATTGCGCAGATCGATGCTCATGCTGTTGATCACTGAATTGTCTGGTCCAGACTCGATTATTTACAGACCGCCGCCATATAGCTGGAATATTGCTGAGTGCGGCGTAAAACTAAACTCACTCACTCACTCACTCACTCACAAATTGTACATCTGCATATGGGTCTATTACCATATTCCAGGTCCGGAATGCTTATGTCATTGTGGTTTGTGACAAACATACTTGTGCCCAGACAAAACCAGTGGTGGAGAGTATGAGCATATTTTTTTTGCAACTGGGGTACCATGATACACAATCAACAGCTGAATTTCGCAACACAATCTAGTGTCCTCTTACAACAATCACAAGTGTGCTTAGAACATTGTCTTATCCATGACTCTCACAACATCAATCAATATTAACTATTGTAACATGCCATTTTGGTTTAAAAATAAATTCCAAGCAATTCTGGAAAAAATATTTACCGGTACTCTTCCCATCCCCCCCCCAAATTAAAAAAACTAAAAATTAAATTAAATTAAAACACAACTCTCTTCACCCTCCAATGACTCGGAGATAGCCCAAAACACCATAAATCCAAGGACATGCAAAGTCCAAACAGTCTGCACATTACGACAGCCATGTCAGCCTGTCCTCCCATCTGCCTGTCGTCCAATCAAAAGCATTGTCTCTCATCACAGAACATCAAACATATCCCCACGTTCCCATAGTTCCAAGCACTCGTGTCATTCAAACATCAAACAATTGTAATTGTTTTCAAAATTAATTAATTCACAATGCCGAGCTTCAACAAGATACATTTCTTCTAAGATGCTTGTTAAACGTGTAATCATAAAATTCTATTCAACAGCCAGTGAAATCTGCAGAACAAAAGAAATAATTACTTTCATTACTCCGCAATAGAGTACATGTACAAGAATCTCTACTAATCATATTGGATATAAAATGCTGCAAAGTAAAAACAATTAATCCTATTGTTTGATGACAAAGATCAAAGCTATCATTCCATGAAATGAAACTTTGATGTGATACTACAATCAACAATGTGAACCCCACCAAAGGTCAATATAATCAAATGCCTATAAATACGTGAGTAAGGTGCATTGGTGAAGTTCATACACAGGCACTGGTTACCTCAACCACAACAGAGAGTAGACTTGGCAGAGAATAAATCAAATTCCCCAGCAATCATAAAGCAACAAAGCCAATTGCACCCAAGCCTGTTTGAGTGAGTGAGTGAGTTTTTGCAAAACCTTGTTCTTGTAGGTGCTGGAATAATTCCTGAGTCAAGTCACTAGAACTTGACACGTGAGTGAGTGAGTGAGTGAGTGAGTGAGTGAGTGAGTGAGTGAGTGAGTGAGTGAGTGAGTGAGTGAGTGAGTGAGTGAGTGAGTGAGTGAGTGAGTGAGTGAGTGAGTGAGTGAGTGAGTGAGTGAGTGAGTGAGTGAGTGAGTGAGTGAGTGAGTGAGTGAGTGACTGACTGAGTTGTTTCATGCCACTTTCAGCAATATTCAAGCAATATCACACCAGAGAACATCAGAAATGGTCTTCACACATTGTACCCATGTCGGGAATCGAACCCAGGTCTTTAGCATGACAGACAAATGCTTTAGCCATAAGGCTACCCCCACCTGCCTGGGAGAAAGAAAAGACACCAGATATGGACATCACACCTATGTGGTGTAGCAAACCTGGGTCTTCGTTCTGATGACTGAACGCTTTATCTACCCCCACCAACACTATCGATCATCCCTGTTGACAAACACAGTGCAGTATCTACCATACGTATCTAAAACACAAGACATGTTTGAATAAACTGAATAGCCCTTGATTTCAACACCGAACAGAAACAAAAGTGAATGTAAACTTTCACAATATCTTTATCAGGTGGGAAAAACCTGGCCTTTAAAAAAACACTGCTGTTATACAATTTTATAACACAAACGCCATTTTGAGAACAATGCCAGTGAACGCCCTTCATCCAAGCCAGCAAATCTGCAGTGCATGATGTAAGCTGCACTGAGTAGGATGTCCACATCTGTACAGTGTAACTATTGCTGTTGCTACCGTTGATGCTGAAGAGGAGATGCATCAACGTACACGTGCAAGTGGTAATTAACTACTCAGCTATTCGCAGAACCCCCAGGAACAACTACCGGAGGCAACACAAGATCTATCTACATCTTGCCGACTTTCACAATACTGGTATTTAGTTGTGTTGGGGGTGAGAACATTGTTTGCACAAATAAACACCAACGGCATAAGTACTAGAAAACTTGTTTTCAGAAATATCAAAATGCCATAAAAACATCTGACAATTTAAAAGAGCTTTTTATGTAATTCTTCAGGAATAGAAACTTCAAAATTTCTTTATATGCGATTCATACTGTGCTTGATTGCTGGATATGTTTTGGGACACAGCCTCTATTTCATATAAAGTGGGTGTTTATTGTTTCAAGATCATTTAACTTGTGATTCATAATTCTGGTCAAATTTTCAAAGACAAAGCTCTTCATGATATGAATATTTATTCATATTAAACCAATTACAGTTTTTGATTCCTTTTGACAGTGTTCAATGATAATCCATGGTTCTGCCCACAAAAGAATTTCCATTTTCTTGAAACAGCGTCTCAATTTACCGCCATCTTAACTGTTGCGAAAATAGCTTGATTTTTCATTTCAATACACTATTGATAAATCATTACACACATGTGACAAAACAGCCACTGGTCCACAAATAAAGGTCAACAGTCATTCACAACTGCTCATTTCTTTAATGCAAATGTCGCTGTGAAAAAAATCCCATAGATTTAAGCAAAGCAAAGGTTAACGTTGGCGATTACGCCGTTCATCGATCCATCGTTAACGGCGGAGTGAGCGTGGAGGGATCGCTGAGTAATGTTGAGATGCTTGTATTTACAGCACAGTCAGCTCCTGTAGTATTGATCATGACTGACTCACTTGATGTAAACATTCCGCCAGATTACGACACAATCATCCGTAGCCTTTTATTCACAATAATCAATTCATTCTTATACACTATTACGTTCATTCTGAGATCACTGATGAAGACCATGACTAGACCTTTTGTTTTAGAAATCACTCCGTAATCTAACATCGTGCATTGTTCAGTATTTCAACTGTTTGCACTTTTGTACAACTACTTCGACAAATGATCATGGATATAAAAATAATTATTCTTTCGTAAAAAGTAATTGCTTCGTAACTCAATAATATTGCCTTTACTAAAAATACAATTCAAATATATAAATCAAATAATTAGAAAATTAACATTTTCTGGCATAAAGTTGAGTCATGTATGACCCCTAACTGACCTGTATGACCTCAGACATGACACTGACCACAAGTAAAAGACATAGCAAATATTTGTTTTCTTTCTGAACACTAAAAAAACCCACTAATTTGTTTCTACATAGGATCTAGAAGGTTTCGATTATACATACTCCTTCTTGTCCATTAAATATTATGATAACTATTAAGGAAAAAAATGTGTGTGCTACCTTCTTGTGTTTTAAATACGTTATTCTTGTCCAATAAATAATAGGATAACTATTAACGAAAAAAATCCATTGGTGCTACCTTCTGTATGTTTTAAATACACTAATTCCTACTGATGCAATATGCCCCCATATTTCCTACCGATACAAATAATTTACATGCTACCTACATCTGCAAAAGATCACCAAACTCCCTACATATGCAATAAATCCACATTCTACCTACTTATGTAATAAATATACACATACTTCCTACTTATGCAGTAAATAAACATACTACCTACTTATGTAATAAATAGACTTACTTCCACATGTTGTAAGTAAACTATGTTTATAGTCATTACTACACAAATGTCCATTCCCCGAATGTCCGTATGTCCAATCCTCGTTTCAACTGTTACAAGAACAGGTAGTAAACCTTGCCTTTTATAGCCCCTCTTATACCTCCGTGAAGCCAACAGTGTAACGTAAACATATTACACAATGGCAAATAATGAGAGTTAACAACCTAAGAATATCAAAGGCATTCCTGTGGATTTATCTAGCAGTGAAAATAACATAAATGCCACATAATTTGTCATACAGGAAGCTAATGTCAACCAACGACACATTACGCATAGATGATTCTGTCAAAGCACAATCATAAATAGTGTTGATTTCTAAGGATCTTAGGTTTTACACTTAGTCTCCATGACTTGCTTTGTAGTTTATAAGAAATTCACAGACACACTTCACATATATAATACAATATCATCATCCTATATCATACCATATAAGTGACAATGTTTCTTTTGGGGTTTAGTAAAGGTCCACACTCAGGCTGTAACGATTCACTCACATATTCGGTGAATCGAACCGTAGCCCTTCATGAATTCAATTTGTTATTCGTGGTCACCAGAACCGAATATTAACGAATATTTACGATGTCTTAAGGGAGCATGTTTTACTTGAACCCTTGTGTACTTTTGGAAAGTGAGATATGCAAGAATTCAATATGTACTAGTCTTGAGTAGCGCAAGTCATGTTAGTTTGCCAAGACTGCACATGGTGCTGTCGATTATAACTATTACATACCAAATTTGAGTGTCATGAGATCACTGGTTATTGCTGTGACAAATCAAAACTGTCAACATGGGCATTCCATATTGTACATCAATCACTTAAGTACAATATTGTATTTGTGAATAATTAATTGTATTCGTTACCCACTATTCATGATACTTATCATATTTGCCACATAGTGTATTCTTTGCAGCCCTAGTCCAAACACAAATACTTCTC